GTGGAGTTGGACAAAGAGGTCAAGGTTCTCTACCCTGGGAAAAGTTGCAGCTTTGACATCACCCGAGCATCTGAGAAGCTGATGAAGGTTCACTGCAGGGATGATCCCAGCATCTGTGGGACTCGGCAGGTCGAAGATATCTCGACCCTCCGTGCATCGGAGAGTTTTGGGTCGTTTGGCGGTGAGGTCGCTGATTTCGTGCAAAAGGAGCAGCAGCAGGTGGAACGAGAGAAATCCTTGTTGCAGGAACGGAAAGACAGGATGGAAGCCTTTCTTGAAAAAGAACGCCGCAAAAATGCGTTTTGTGTCTTGGCTGGTTCTTTGTCCTGCACAGCACTGTTCTTGGGCCTGCTGGTGCTATGGAGTTGTTTGGACCCGCAAGATGAGGTCTCTGCACTGCTCCTGTCCTTGGGAGTGGTGCTGTCGCTGGCTGCCCTGTCCTGGTGCAGCTGGCTGGCTCAGGGTTTTGGTCTCAACTATCCAGGTCCACGGCGGAAGAAGTTGGCATATTATGGAAGCTTCGGCTGTTCCGTGCTGGGCGGCCTTGCTGTAACCATAGCCATTGTGAGGTATGTGCTGGCCGGATTCTGGTGGACCGTGTTGGCAGCTGGGTTGCCGTGCTGTTGCCTATCGATTGTCATGTGTATGGCAAATTGGGACTCCTCGGAGATATGGGAGATTATCCAAAAAGAGTCGGTGTCCGAACGGACCATCGTCTTTCGCGGAAAAGTTTTTCCAGGCACCGGCAAGTGCGTTTGCTCATGGCCAGGGAAATACGAGTCTGCCTGGGACGCCCTGGTCACAGGCAGCCGCAGGGGCAACATCAGCGCGGCGGTGGTCTTCCTGCCCGAGGGCTCGGAGCATTTCGGCCAACACGACCCCATCCCGGAAAACGAAAAGCTACCGGGCAGTTGCTGGTGCGTTCCCCTTTATGGGGAACCCAAGCCGTGGGGTTGCCATTGGTGGACAAAGTGGATAGCAAACATCGAAAAAGCACACGAGGAAGGTGCAGAAATGGAGGTGTACTTTTTCAAGGGCATGAAGGGTAGAGGCAAGGTTCGGAATTTCTCGACTGCTGGCAAAGAGAACTTGAGGCGAGAAGCTATTCAAGAGAAGAAACAAACACAGGACTTCTTGCAGTCGCAAGCATTTCTTGAGGCATGCCATCAAGGAATTGAATGCCTTTCGACAGAGCCACGTGAAGACTCTTCCTCTCAGTATTCGCGGGAGGTACAGCGACTCTTTTTGGCATGGCTTCCAGAGGAAGAACGCCACTTCATGGAGGCATCCGAAGGCCTTGGCAATTCGCAGAAGGCAGAAGTAGCGTGGCTTGAGCGGAAGGGCTATGCTTACACTGAAGTGGACATCTTCCAGTGGCTTCAGTAGCTGATGTAGATAATATTTGTATATATTTCTGTAATTTATATTGATTAATTATAACATTGACTTGTCCGCCGCTAATTATATAGTTGATCCATGTTGCTCCAAGGGAGGCAGAGTTGGCCAAGCCACCTGCTGAAATAGGTCGGACATGGACAGAAATGGTGAGCCCTTGATTGCGCCGAATGGCTGGAGGATACCCAATCAATTTCCAGGAGCAGGACTTACATCAACAACGGCCCCAAATGGGAAGATAAATTTGATCATCATAATATAGATTGATTATTGTATAATATCCACTGATTGTTGGATAATTTGATCGTCAAAATATGGATTGACTGTTCTGTTTATTTGGGAACACTGGACTGTGCGACTGCCTCTTGTGACACGGTCCTCCTGATTTGCCAACAGGAGGCATTGAGATGGTGTTCCAGTGCACCCTGTCTAAACCTTGGGATGAGCAGTGACCCGCTTTGAAATCTGATCCGTAGTCCAGCCTGTTGTGTCTTACCGGTAACTTTTTAAAACCTTCAAGGCGACCAACTCCAAGTGCTGCATCGGGTCTATGTTGACAAATGATTTGCGCGGCAAACTTTATCCCGTGGAAATTTCCAATGTTGGGGGAAGATCTACCTGAAATGAAGAAAACGCATAAATCACTAATTAAGATCAGAACAACTGGTTGCACTCAGTACAGTCAAATGACTATTTTTTCCTTCAACATGCGTTCGCAGCAGGACTTAAATCCATTTTTTCGGATCAAAATGACACAATTTTGGTGGTTCAGTCCACGATGTGCCAGTGATTTCATCCCTGTTCCTTGCTGAGTTTCTGACCCCCCATTAATGGATTGTGTTTTAAAATCCGGCCCAAATCCAGTAGTTGCTTAAAACATGGTAAAACACATCCACAAAATTCGATTGAACAAAATGAACCAATCCATAGGAATCCATAGAACTCGTAGTATTTGATAGTTAAACTAAATCCCATTATTTGCTGGTTGCAAATCCATCTCAAACGACACGCCCCAGATTTACCAAGGCACCATGGGGGCCCAAGATGTCGTTGTGGCGGTCTGGGAGGACATCATGGGAAAGTGAGGATTGGATCGCGACAAAAACAGGGAGTTGACCCAGAAAAGTGGGGATTTGAACCATGGTGATTCATCTCACGCATTGAGATTTTTGAATCAGAGATTTGTGAACCGGGGGTGTTATGCAAAATTGGAAAATGACAAAGAAACCATAGAATCGCGCAAAACAAATGCTTACATAACGTCCCTCCTGGAATCCATAGAAAAATATAATGATCATAAAGAACCGCTCCAGTGTGCTTTCTCAGGTCCTGTGGAAAAATAAGGGCTTATTTATAGATAGAGATAGAACCAGAGATAAAGAAACGGATAGACATAAAGCATCATAAAGCTATATAAACAAATATAGAACATGTATATAAAGATATATGATATATATGTGTAATATATATATATACATAGATAGATAGATAGATAAATAGATAGATAGATAAATAGATAGATAGATAGATAGATAGATATAGGTATAGATATAGAGATAGATATCGATATACATAGATATAGACAGATAAAGATAGAGATGGATACAGATAGATACAGATAGAGACAGATAGAGCCAGGTAGAAACAGATAGAGATAGATAAGGATAGAAATAGAGATAGATTTAGAGAGATAGAGATAGATATAGAGAGGTACATACAGAGATAGAGAGATAGAGAGATAGAGAGAGAGAGAGAGACACAGAGAGGGAGAGAGAGAGAGAGAGAGATAGAGAGATAGAGAGCGAGAGATAAGATGAGATGAGAATAGAAAAGATTAGATTCGATTAGATTCGATTAAAATAGATAGATAGAACGATAGAACGATAGATAGTGTATGGATTGGATGGATGGATGGATGGATGGATGGATGGATAGATAGATGGCACGGGGGTCGCATTTGCCCCTACCTCATGTGGGGTCGCACTTGCCCCTACTCAAGGTGGAGGCAGGGGCGAACGTGACCCTAGGGTAGGGGCGGATGTGACCCCACCTCGTTTTGCGTGGCAAGGCCGGCAAGGCGCAATGGTTTCAGAATCTCGAAAGGATCGTTTTGCAGCTGTGACAGTCAGTTACGACGTCTTTTTCAAGTGTCACGTTGTAACATCCATTTCAAGTAACTCCCAAAACGCTGTGGATGCTACGTTGTAACATCCAATTCAATCAACTTCCAAGATGCTCTGGATGCTACGTTGTAACATTCATTTGAAGTCAGTTTCAAGACGCTCTGGATGCTACGTTGTAACATCCACTTGAAGTCACTTCCAAGACGCTCTGGGTGCCATGTTGTAACATCCAATTCAATCAACTTCCAAGACGCTCTGGATGCTATGTTGTAACATCCATTCCAATCAACTTCCAAGACGCTCTGGGTGCTACGGTTGTAACATCCACTTGAGCATGAGGAGAAGCGTCAGCGGGATCGAGCACGAAGTGGATAGCATGGTCCGCAGAGAGATGATGACCACGATGGTCACAGCAGAGGTGGGAAGATGAGGAGTGAAGCTGGAGCACGAGGATCTGGTGATGGGGAGCCTGCCAGGTTGACCGTTCAGAATGATGGGTCGATCGGTGGTGGCGGCGGGCGAGCCAATGCGGCTGACCCTGCGAACTTTCCTGTTCTACAACCAGATGCCAGAGGGGCCGATCATCACCCCGAATGGACGTCCCGTCCAACCTTGGCCAATTGGACAAGTTATGGATGATGAGCCACCGATGCCAATGTCCAGTGCACCTTTGCAAGCGGAATCCGAGACTGCAGTGCCTAGTGCTGCAGGTGATGTTTAGTTGGATGATCCTGGTCTTGCGGTGCCGATGGCACCACCTCGTGATTATGCTGAGAGCCTAAGAGAAGCAGCAGCATCTCGTCCAAGTGATCATTCAAGTGAGGAAGCTTTGAAGAAGCAGCGTACAGAAGAAGCAAAGAGACAGCGCATCAGCAGACCGAAAATGGAATATGAAGAGGGATAGAGCGCTGTGAAGATTGCTCACAAAGAATATTTCACAATGGATGATTATACAGCTGACTTGGATACAGAAGATGCGATGGATGACAATGATGACTGGGCTGGAGAAGATGCAGTGATTTTGTCAGGCATTCCTGATGAACTTTGGTCTGATGCTCCAACTGATCAACTCGCGCCTGAGTCGCCTGACAAGTGGATAGATGATCTTGCAGACCGAGTTGAAATCCAGCGTCTTTGCGGCATGCAGGTTTTGGTGCCTAGAGATGATTTTCATGGAGAGATCACAGGCAGCTTGGCAACAAAGATGGTGAGAAAGCGTTGGATGCGTAGGTCAAGACTGGTGGCTAGAGAGTTTGCCGGCTAGAGAGTTTGCCACAACAAGGAGACTGGATACATTCAGCCCAGCAACTGGGGCACACACGTCAAACCTTTTACAACTCAAATACTTTGGAAAGAAAGGTATAGCTGCCGAGGCAAAATCCAAGGAGGAGTATGATGTGGTGGTGGGCAGCCTAGACGTGCGTGATGCCTTCTTGCAAGTGGAGCAGGATGATCCTGTTCTAGTATATCTCCAAGGTGAACCATTTGTCATTAGGCGCAACTTGCCAGGGCAACGGCTGGGAGCCAAACAATGGTTTTTGTGCTTGAAAGCTTTTTTTACAGAGCAGCTTGGGTTCACCTTTTTCCAAGAACAGCCTTGCTTGGCCCGAACACCTGAGGCCACCATCATGATCCACGTTGATGATATTCTATTTGTTGGCTTGAAGTCATTTTGGAATGATGTGTTTTTGAAGAAAACGAAAAAGCGATTCACAGTCAGTCATGATGAGCTGAAAGGTGTTGGTAGCAGCATTACCTTTTTGCGCAGAAAGATCGCTGAGGTGGAGAATGGTTTGATTTTGGCTCCAGGAACAACAGTGGAGAAAGTCGTAGGTGTGTTTGAAGCTGCGTTTGGCCAGGCCGGGTCACAGAAATTGCCAAGGGCCAAGTGATTCAAGTTCGCAACTGCCAGACAATTCACAGAAACTTTCAGCAAAGGATGCAGGTGCCTATCGGTCGATAGTCGTTTTGTGCTTGTACATTGGGCGAGAAAGGCCAGACCTTATGTGCACCATCAAGGGGTTAGCATCATGCATGAGTTCCCCAACTTTGACTTCACTGGCACGTTCGCGTAAGATGATGGGTTGCATGAAGGCAGTTGGAGATGTAGGACTGCATTTGCAATATCCACAACCTGGTCAGGGAAAACTGAACGCAGGATGAGTTTGCCAATGGGTGTTAGAAAGTTATTCCGACGCAGACTGGAGTTCAAACAAGGCAACAAGGCGATCTACCTCATGTGGGGTTCACTACATCAATGGTTGCTTCATGTATGCAGGCAGTCGGGGTCAGAAACTGATTTCACTGAGTTCTTGCAAGAGTGAGCTTCACAGTCTCATCAGTCGTGCATGCGACAGTTTGTTCATCAAAGCTTGCGCAGTGTTTGTATTGGATGACCAGTTGGAACACATTGTCTACACAGACTCAAGCTCAGCGAGACAATTGGCCTGCAGACAGGGATCAGGGAAGGTACGTCACCTTTCTGGAAAACTGCTGTGGATACAAGGCAAGACTGCAGATGGGAGCTTTCAATTGCGCCAGGTACGTGCAGCATGCAACATAGCTGACATAGGTAGAAAAACGTTGGGCAGGCAAAGGTTGTTTTACCTTTTTTTATGAATGTGGATTGGTCTAGAGTCTACATTACTACTGACTTTACTAGGGTTGGTGCAGACGAGTTTTTGGTGCAGAATGACAAGCTTGTGAATTCCAAACAGTTGAAACAGATCACCAAAGCAATCCTGAGAATGAGCATCGCCATGGGAATCACTGGGGGTCTTGAGCCAGCAGGACCTTTTGGAGCTATGGCTCAACAATGTGATGTTGTGACAGAAGAGCCCAAGCACAATGCATGGTGGATGTTTACACTTGTGGTTTTTTGGGATTTGCGTGGTCGCGTTGTTTTCAAAACTTGTGTTGGGAACATGGAGATGGCTTGAACAGAGGATGATTTCTCTTGCAACTGCAGCGCGTGGAATTGGGAGTGATTTAGAATAATCACAAATGCAACTGGCTGATCACTACG